GCATGTACATCTTGAATGTGCAATATGCAAAAAAGGTGTTACAAACTTTACATCCAAATCCCTGAAGAACAAAACATGATAATTATAGCATATATAACATAACATAACATGACATAAATTTTATTTAACATAAAATTGTAAACATACAATTTATAGTCAAATCATATTCTGTATAGTGTAAAGTGTTACAAGTTACAATTAGCCGAGAAGTATTGTTAACCAGTATGAACAAATGTTATGATATATATAACAGAATTTGCATTTGAAATAATTATAAATGTAAGAAACAAATGTACTTTAACAAAGAAGAAAAAAATATTTGTTAACGTTGCCGAGAACTATTGTTGACAAATATAAACAAAGGTTACGGCATAATTGCATAAAAAATACTTATGCATGTACACAGTAGAACGAGATTTGTTCACGTGCTGACCTTTTCACGATCTGCGTAGTCCTTAAATTTTACAACGATCGGTCGTGGTCGTTTGGATCGTATTCCTCCTAGTCTGTGGGCTCTATCAAAGACCATATCATTTACTTCCAAATCAACGGTTTCCCTGATAAGGTCTTTGACAAGCTTATCGCAATCTTCCGGCTCTCATTTGGCTTAGGGGGTTCGGGTTCGTTCAGGCCATAGAATATTAGGTTTGATCTCATTGTTCTTACTTCTAAATCTAGCAGTTTATCTTGTACATTTTCCGCTTGTTTCTGGAGTGTATGATCGTATTCTGCTAAATCAATGCATTTGTTTTGTAAAGCATTAACTTGTTCCCTTGACTCCTGTAATTCACTTTTTTGATTTTCGAAAGCTGAATTAATGAATGCTAATGAGTTTTCTGCCTCTGTGCTTTTCGTTTCCAGATTTTTAACTTTTATTACAAAATTACTCATTTGAAATTGTATTGTTTTCACTGATTTATCAATTTCGTCTTATTTGGGTAAAGCATTTTTTATCATTTTAACATCTTCATTTATCACTTTCACGCTTTCTATAAGGGAGTGAGCCCAAATAGGGGGTGATGTATCGGAGTCCCAATATTTGTAAATCCAAGTCCTGGATATTGTCCCAAGTTTAAAACCGGAGAAGCGCCGTTTTGATTCATTACAGAATGCACGTAGTCAATACTATTATTTAATCCGATCGTGTGATGAGTTGGTGCACTACACGTTATGCTTTGTGAACACGGGTTTAAATGGCTGTCTATATCCAAATCTGGTGAAGCACTAGCTTTTCTTTTTTCTGCTCGTTTTAGCTTTTTTCTTTGAGTTTTTGTCAGATTAAGGTTTTCAGACATTAGACCTGCTATTTAGCTTCACTTTGATACAAAAATTCAAGAAATCATCCAATTGTTTTAATAGGAAAAATTGTAAATTGAGAGAGAAAAATCACGTGTTACACTATACACAATGACCGTATACATTATCCCATATATATAGCATTTATTTCAATAGCAATATAATACAATGAATAAGATTACACAAACAATTTACAAACTGTTAGATCAACATCAAAGAGCAGTCATTTATTTGAGACTGTGCCACATGGAAGACGGGCAAAACCCCACCAGTTAAAACCCCACCACTCAAAATTTCATATAGTGGACAAAACCCCACCTCTAAATTTAATAGATTGGACAAAACCCCACCACTAAATAAATGCCACATTTATGACGTTGAATAATCCATTATTATTAGATTTTTTTCAAATTCATTTCTTCAATTTTTTTATATATAAAATAAACTACTTACTATAAATCAAGAATATAGCACCTTTTCATCACTTATTGATTAAAAATGTCCTTGAATAGCACATTTTTATAGCACATTTCTAAGTTATTCAGTTGAGTCTTTTCTCCTTCATTGTACTTCATTGTACTTAATTTAAGCGGAAACAGTGGCCGATAGCCTGAAGAAACTCAGGTACAGTCTTCTCCTTGTTGATGAGTTGTTCACACATTCTTTTGAGTTTCTGCTGATGCACAATTGTTTGTTTTTTAACACGTTAACAAGAAAGTTCACCACGTTGATACTTGAGCTCCTCTGTTTCTACAATGGCACAGTCATTTTGGAGACAGTTTATGACTGTCCAGATAGATGGGTTAGAGTGGCCAACTAAAACTCAGAACCCATTATTCCAGGACTCACAGACATTGTCGTGGGGTTTTGTCCACTCTATAGAACTGAAGTTGTGGGGTTTTGTCAACTCTGTAAAATTTAGTGATTGGGTTTTGTCCACTCTTTAAAATTTAGTGGTGGGGTTTTGTCCACTCTAGAAAAATAAAGGTGGTAGGGTTATAACTGGTGGGGTTTTGTCCTACATTCCATGTTAACATACCTTATCCGACCGGTGTTAACTCTATCTCTCGTTAATTGTTAAAAGTCAATGCTATAATAATTACTACAAATGTTTTGTTTAGGAAATAGATATCAATTCTGAGTGCATTGTTGTAGAATAATGCACGGTTTGAGTTCAAATGCGTAGTTATATAATCACGAAGGCCGATAGGCCTGAGTGATTAATCACAAAGCATTTTAACGAAAAGTGTGCATTATTATACAACAATGCACGAAGAATTAATGTCTAATTTCCATTCTAACACGTCAAGAAAAAAATATAATTATTATTATAACGTTGGACTTTATGTTTGGTGGTTGAATTTGTTTTCGCCTCAGAGTTTCCAATAGAAACGTTATTTAAAGGCCGTTCCAGTGGGTTGAAAAATAACTGTCGTTAAATCTACCGTGTGTAGAAACATTTTGAAAATAACGAATTTTGAAAACGTTGATACAACTTTGTTTGTTTATTTATTTCAGTTTATTATTTTCCAAGCGAAATACAAATTATTAAAAGTGAAATAAATGTAAAACTAAACTTGTTTCCGACATTAAAATAGCGTGCTTGATTTGATTGTTTTGCACGTGCTGTTTGGCGCACGTAAACAACACTTTACACGTCTGTAAACAACTGTAACCGAAATCTGCGTATAAACTGTAACAAAATCGAACCAAAGTCGCTTGGTCTATACTGAAACCCTGCAAAACTCACCTCGCTCTATACTGTAACATTGTTTATTTTTTCAAACGCATTTTACGAACAGGAAAATAAGTTCAGCTGGTTATTTACTTTTATAAACGTTACTAAACACAATTAAAGGACTAACGTTGTGTAGGTTAAATTTTTGTAGGCATGCTTAAATAATGTCGGAATGAGAGAAAAATGCGTTGGTCTCTCGATTCAATTTTTCAAACTGGCAAATCTGCATATATATGATGAAATATAGAGAAAAATCTGTGGTGCAGAATCTGAGAAAATGTATGACTACATACCGGATCCAGTTCCTTATAAGCAAAGCACAAAACATCATTTAGAAACTAAACTACTTTTAGTATGGATCGTGCCTAGCCAGCTTAGAATTCCTGAAAAGCATTTGTTCACTATATTTAGTAATGCTCTGCTAGATTGCCTAGCCAGCTTAGCATTCCAGCAGAGCATTTTTACACTGTATTTAGTAATGTCCTGCTAGATTGCCTACCCAGCTTAGCATTCCAGCAGAGCATTTTTACACTATATTGTAGTACCCGTACCCCACCCACTGTTTTTTCCATTACGTTGTATTTTTTCTGAGGTTTCATAATATTCATTTATAATCAAAAGATAAATTAGGTATTGCATATCAAGTAGATGGTTACCTTTTATCTGTCTGAAGATTTAAAATAGTTAATACTTATTGTTCTGCTGCATATTTTCAGTAAATATTTTTTACCCTAGTCAATATTGTATTTACAGCGGCCATATTGTTCCGGTCTCGTTTTTTCTCATCAGACGTTATTTGTTCGTTAGCGCTATTTTTAGCTCAAAAGTTATTCACCCACCAAATTTGAATTAATAAATTCATTTAAAGGTAATTATAGACATTCTTGTTAGCAACTTTATGATAAATTGTTCATTTAATTATTATTCATTTCTGTGTATTTACATGTATAAGATTTTGTATGCATTTGTTGCAACGTTACACAGTTACACGCCTGACATTGTTGGAGACCCTTTGGTGCCTCTTCCAGCAATGTTGGAACGTCCAACAGCGTTCGTTGGGATGTTGGACTGTTGGAAATTGTAGGGGCTATATATAGGCGTGGTCGGCCATTTTGGGGCACTTCCACATTTTCAACTTTTAAGAGCGCCATATTCTTCAGTATCTTTGATTTGTTTTAAGGTTTAATTAAAATCTGGAATCGTATTACTTCGGAAACTCAAGTAAAGGTAGATAGCTTGTTTTTTTAATGCATATGGTGCTCATTTATTAATTTTAAAGATTAGTTTTGAGTTTTGTAGGCACTTGATATAATACTAAGATAGATATTTTTTTTAATTACTTCAGTTCAGAATTTTCTAAAAATGTTTATAGATTTAAATACTTAAGCCTGTTGTAGATTCTATATTATAAGTTTCTGCTTTATAGATATGTGTTGGTCACACATAGCCCCCGCGCGGAATTTAGAAAACGTGTATTTCTTTTAACTTCGGGTTTTTCTTATTTTTTTTGTTAACGAGTTGCCATAACTGAATGTGTTATTTCTTTATGATCTTCTTCAGAATATTTGCTTCAATATTGTTAAGGCATCTTTAAAATAAATTTTAAAATTGTCAGAGCATCTTATTTTTTTGTCCAGTCATAATTAATATTTCAATCTTTAGTTTGTGGAAGTCACACCCCTCCCCCCTTTTATCCTGAGAATGCTGTAGACCGGGAAGGCATTACAGCTGCGCACTGGCAAGCTAGCAAACGTGCATATATATTTTTAAACGTCATCGCCGTCTGTTAGCTAGCCAAGTAGCCCCCACATCCTACATCTGAACAGCAAGCAAAGCAAGATACCTCACAGCGCTACCAAGTGGCCCAGACTAGAGTACTCAGGCTCGTAACATAATTTTGTGGTGGCAGCGGTGGGATCCTTTGAAGAAGATACTGGACCAAAAGTGACATCTGAACCTTGAAGCCATGAGACCAGTCACTAGAGGGCAGAAAATCGAAGGGGTGTCACAGCAATCAGATGTAGAGAGTGAGTTTGAAGATGAGGGAGGAAAAGATGATAATAGCAGCCTGAGGGGAGCAGTGAAGTCTAGACGTGGAGAAACCTCTCCTTCTGATTCAACTGACTTTAGCAGAAATGAGGCGCAACGTACAGATGGTGGTATGATACCCGATGATCAGGGCTCCCAGGCAGACGAAAGTGAGCACAGGGCTGAGACAGACTTCAGTGACCATGAGGAGGAAGCAGATGACAGTGACCAGCATCTAGACAATGACAGTGAAAGCGAAGTAATATTTTCAACAAGACCAAAAGGTGCAGAGACACAGAACCTTGTTAGTGACGGGGACGATGAGCCCCTTAAGAAAATTAGCTGTATGTTGCAACGCCAAGCTGAACAACAGGAAAATATTTTAAACTCGTTCTTGTCTAATATGACCGATGTTCTTGAGAAATTTCAGGCTAGACGTGCAAATAACAGTGAACACCCTGAAGGGATATATACGGAAGAGATTTCATTGGGTAGGGCTGAACAGACGAACTCCAGAACAGACATCCCGATGGGTAGACCCGACACAGATGTGAGGCACCCAACTCACAAACAGAGATCATGGCATAAAAGAGATTCGACACCAGGACGCAAAGCTGGTAACTTAAATGGCAGCACGGAAGACAATTACGAAATTCAAAGAGACCACCGACTTTCATATGGAGCAAGCAGGTCAGAAACTGACAGAGAAGGCGACATGGAGACCAATGGCGCTAAGAAGGAAAGCTGGACTATGTGATGGTATTTATATAAGAGGCAGCATTCAAGGCATTCCAACTGTCCTCACAGCAGACACCGGAGCATCAAGACAAGTTCTGTCAATCAGATTCTTTAATAAGATTGAAGATAAGAATAGGCCAACCTTAGAAAAGTCAAATATGCTTAAGGGAGCAGGTGGAGCTCCATTAAATGAATCAGGGAAGGGGTTTTTTTCATTACAGATGGGATCGCTGAGCTTACAGCAGGAGATGGTTGTCGCTGATATAGAAGATGATTGCCTTCTTGGAATAGATGTGCTTCAGAATGGTAACGGAGGGCCTGCAGATATGATGCTCAGCAAAGGATTTATAAAACTTCAAGGTCATGAGATCCCATGCACTCAGATAGGAATGTCTAGTCATGTTAGAAAGGTTACTGCGACGGATACAGTAGAAATACAAGGCTATAGTGAGACTTTAGTAGTCGTTACAATTGAACGAAATGATATTGATGATCTGGTAGAGGAATCACATTTTTTGATAGAACCTACAGAACACTTTATAGGCAACTATCCGTTGCGCATGGCAGCATCATTAGTTGACATTAACAAAAGTAACACCAGCAAAGTAAGACTGCTGAACCCGTATCCAACGCCAGTGTCTATCAGACAGGACGCCATACTTGGAGGTGCTGAACGAATAGGAGAATATGTCACGGTGCTGACTCAGCGTGAATCAGATCAAGAAGATTTTTCAGCTGTTAGAAGAATACAGATTCCAGCGCACAATGCGAAAATCACAGAACAAGATAGAAAGCAAGTACATTCCCCAACAAAAGTTCCTGGGCACCTGAACAAGCTGTATGAAGCCACGTGCAAAGATCTCAAAGCTAATGAAAGAGATAAAGTAGCTAATTTGTTAATTCGCCATCAAGAAGTTTTCTCTAAGAATGAGTGGGACATAGGCCTTACTAAATTAGCAGAACATAGCATCAACACCGGCAATGCACGTCCAATCAAGCAAAGACCAAGGAAAGTGCCATTAGCATTCGCAGATGAAGAAAAGGCAGCAATAGAAGACCTTAAAGCAAAGGGGGTAATAAGGGAGAGCACATCGCCATGGGCATCTCCGCTTGTGCTTGTTCGCAAGAAAAACGGGTCAGTTAGACCATGTGTCGACTACCGGAAGTTGAACGAACTGGTTAAACCAGACGGATTTCCAATGCCTCGTGTACAGGACTGTCTGGACTCTGTGGCAGGATCGACACTATTCAGCACCTTTGACTTGACTAGCGGCTATTTTCAGATCCCGGTGAAAGAGGAAGATGTCCAAAAGACCGCATTTGTGTGCAAATTCGGACAATATGAAATGTCCAGGATGCCATTTGGCCTGAACAATGCGGCCAGTACGTTCCAGAGGACAATGGAAATAGCTTTGCAGGGATTACAATGGGAGACCTGCCTCATCTATATTGATGACGTCATAGTGTTTGGCACTGACATAGAGGATCACATTAATAAAGTAGACAAAGTACTACAGAGATTAGGCGAAGCGGGACTGAAATTGAAACCAGAGAAGTGCGAGATGCTACAGAAGGAGGTGACATTTTTGGGACACGTTGTATCAGGCGAGGGGGTACGGCCTAATCCCATGAATATAGAAAAGATCTTAAACTGGCCGAGACCGAAGAATGCCCGTAATGTTAAGCAGTTTGTAGCTTTGGGAAGCTACTACAGAAAATTCGTAGAAAACTTTGCAAAGCGTGCCAGGCCTATGGTGGAACTTACTAAGAAGGGAAAGAAGTTTGAGTGGACAGGTGACTGCGAAAGATCATTCCAGGATATAAAATCAGCATTAGTGAGCCCAGATGTGATGGGGTATCCGTTGAATGATGGAGGAGAGTTTGTTTTAGATGTGGACGGCTCAGACGTGGGTATAGGCGGAGTCTTATCACAGATGCAGGGGGGACGTGAAAGAGTTATCGGGTATGCAAGCAGGGCATTGAACAATGCCGAAAGGAATTATTGTATTACAGAGAAAGAACTGCTGGCAATACGGTACTTTGTAGAGTACTACCGCCAGTATCTCTTGGGCCGCAGGTTCCGGGTCCGAACAGACCACAGGGCGCTGGTTTACCTTTTTAAATTGAAGGAACCACGTGGAAAAACAGCAAGGTGGTTAGAAATACTGACTCAGTATGATTTCTGGATTGAATACCGACCAGGGCACAAACAAGGCCATTGTGATGCACTCTCGAGATGTGAAACTCCAAAGGACTGCCAATGTGCAGATGTCGACATGATGGAACTGCTGAAATGTGGGCCATGTAAGAAGTGCCAAAAGAGGGCGGAAAGCATGATATTGGATGGGTCATATGCGGGAATAGTGATGACACAGCCTGATCTTGCGTCAAGTGGTGAGAAGGAAATCACTGAAGAAACAAAAGCAGTGCGCAGTGCAAGGCAAGACGGTAAGGACATATTAGTGACACCCACGACTGACAGAGAAAAGCTGCCTGAACAATGCATACAGGGAATTTTGTCAGGCTATACCGTGGCGGAAATTAAGAAGAGTCAGGAGGACGATCCAGATGTCAAGGTGGTGCTAGAGGCAAAGTCCGAGGGAAAAAGGCCATCAGACCGAGACATCGCTGCAATGAGTCCAGCAAGCAGGCATTATTTCTTGTTGTGGGATGCATTAGAGGTCACTGACGGAGTGTTGATAAAAATCTTCAAGAAGCAAGATGGTACAGGACAGCACTACCAGATAATAGTACCACAAAAATTAAGGAAGCATGTGCTCTTCCAAATGCATGATGCACCGATGGCCGGTCACATGGGAGTCAAAAAGACTAAAGAAAAGCTGGCCCAAAGGTATTTCTGGTACCAAATGAAGGCAGACATTTCAATATATATCAAAAGATGCGACATATGTGCTGCAGACAAGAAGCCCATGAAGACTCCAAGAGGTCCACTTGGAACCATTAGGACTGGAGCACCTTGGGACGTTTTGGCAATGGACTACATAGGACCACTCCCATGCACACCTCGAGGGAACCGCTATGCCTTGGTACTTACCGACCTGTTCTCGAAGTACGTCGAAGTGGTAGCTTTGCCAGATCAAACAGCTGAGGCATGCGCTAGGTACGTTGTGTCCGAGTTCATACCCAGGTGGGGATGTCCAATCACCATTCATACTGATCAGGGGAGGAATTTCGAGGGCAAGGTTTTTCAGGAGATGTGTCGAATGCTGGAGGTAAAGAAGACCAGAACGACTGCAAGAAATCCCAAGTGTAACGGACAAGTCGAAAGATGGAACCGTTCCCTTATCAAAATGCTCAAAGCTTATATAAGTGACCAAACTGAATGGGACCTGCATTTAGGATGCATTGCTGGAGCGTATAGGGCTACGCCCCATGAGGCAACCAAGATGACCCCCAATTTGTTAGCATTAGGCCATGAGGTAAGGCTACCATCTGAATTGGTCTTCAGCAGCAAAATACAAGGTGACATCGAGTCCATAACATCATATGGAGCTTATGTTGACAAGCTGAGGGAAAACTTACAACAGGCACATGCATTGGCACAGAGGAACCTTAGAAGCCGCTGAGCGAAGCAAGGAGATTTACGATGCAAGGGCCATGATCAACAAGTATAAGGAAGGCGACTTGGTTTGGATTCTACACGAGTCAAGGAGAGCAGGGTCAGCGCCAAAGTTGGAAAGGAACTACAAGGGACCTTTTATAGTGACCTCATGCCTATCAGACGTCACATTTTTGATCCAGATGGACCAGAATGGCTACAAGAGGGTAGTAAATCATGACAAGCTGAAGCCATATGAGGGAGAAAAACCCCCAAATTGGACAGTAAAACTACAGAAGAAACTTAAAAAGGATTAATCTGAAGCATTTACATATATACATACAATACGTGTACAGATTTAATGTATAATAAAGATATTTGTACTTTTGTTGTGTTTTTATGTCTTTTGTATTAAACTAGGCGTTACACTAGGTCTCAGCAGTTGTAAGGGAGTGCCAACAGATGGTGAAAACAGATCTAGGATAAAGTGCTTGGTACAGTATTGGACCAGTGAAGACTTTCGCTCAGTCGCCGGCTACCTGTGGTATTTTTATATTTCAAGTCGTAGTAATGCGATATCGTGATAATTTTGAATCAGCTATGGAACCGCGTAAGTTTTGTCGTCCATGGGGCAATTCGATAGTGTGACCGACAATGCTGAAGAAGCTATTCCAGCATATAGTTAACCCGCGTATGGTCTTTATTTATTTTCAGATGGCAGATCGTATGGTTCTGGCAGCTAAGAAGAGAGGACGGGCCTACAGATGTCTTCATTGTACTAGGCTTGGGCGTCCTGACTGTATAGCAGAGAGAGGTCGCATTGAGTCTCACATCTATAAGCATCACGTGCAGTTGGACCGTGTACCATATAGCTGCAGCCAGTGCATGTTCCATTGTACGAGTCAGGAACAGTTTGATCGCCATCATGGAGGTTTTTGGTAACAGTTTGGGGAAATGTAGGTGCAGAGGAGGTGCAGAGGAAGACTCAGGTGATGGAATGGCTAGAGAAGAAGTGCGGAGCAAGATTACAGGAGATGGTAACAAGGAGAGAGATAGGAGCAGAAGCAGGAGCAAGGATGAAGCAGTAGATGACAGGATAGGAGGCAGCGAGAGTCTGGATTCGAGAGGAGGGCAGGGCGACAGAACAGGTAGGAGCAGGAGCAGAGATCGGGATGAACGGATGAAAGAGAATGTCAAGGAGCATAGGGTGGAAAGAATCAACTGGAGGAGTAGAAGTAGGAGCGGTGAACGGATACGTAGAGAGAGAGAGGGAGTTACACAAGGTCAGCAGGGAGATTGTAGGAAGGGCGGAAGTGAAAAGAACTATAGGTGTAAAGAGGGGAACAGAGATACAAGACGAAATGTGCAGCAACAGAGGCGTGACAGGAGTAGAAGTAACTGTAGAAGGGACAGGAGCAGGGAGAGGACTGGAGGTAGGCAGGAGAGAAGGCCGGAACATGAGAGGAGTAGTTATAGCAGTAATGGGAACAGGAGCAGAGAGAGAACTGTAGATAGACGGGAGGAAAGACGACATGATAGAAGCAGAGGCGATGTCAGGAGCGGAGAGAGAGATGAAGCTATTAGAGTACAGGACCGCGCACAGCAGGGTCGTGACAGGAGGAGCGAAAGCAGGGACGAGGGCACAAGGGAGAGATGGGACAGGACGAAGAACGAGAGAAGAGACTGAGATCATATATATATTTTTGTAATATAGCTGTTGATGTATTTGTCTGTATATATGCATATCTGATTTATTTTTTTTTATTTATTTTTTTTTGTTAATCGGGAATAACATTTTTGAACAGTAAAGTTTCTGCAATATTCATAATTCTAGGCATTTTCCAGTTCTGATATGATATTATTGAAAGTTATGTTAAATTGATTTGTTAACCTTGAATTGAATGTTCTTTAACCATGTTGTTATTGTATACTCCTGATAATTGTAGTGGCAGTTGGAACTTTGCCACTTTAGGTGGGGGGTAATGTAGTACCCGTACCCCACCCACTGTTTTTTCCATTACGTTGTATTTTTTCTGAGGTTTCATATTATTCATGTATAATCAAAAGATAAATAAGGTATTGCATATCAAGTAGATGGTTACCTTTTATCTGTCTGAAGATTTAAAATAGTTAATACTTATTGTTCTGCTGCATATTTTCAGTAAATATTTTTTACCCTAGTCAATATTGTATTTACAGCGGCCATATTGTTCCGGTCTCGTTTTTTCTCATCTGACGTTATTTGTTCGTGAGCGCTATTTTTAGCTCAAAAGTTATTCACCCACCAAATTTGAATTGATAAATTCATTTAAAGGTAATTATAGACATTCTTGTTAGCAACTTTATGATAAATTGTCCATTTAATTATTATTCATTTCTGTGTATTTACATGTATAAGATTTTGTATGCATTTGTTGCAACGTTACACAGTTGGAAGCCTGACATTGTTGGAGACCCTTTGGTGCCTCTTCCAACAATGTTGGAACGTCCAACAGCGTTCGTTGGGATGTTGGACTGTTGGAAATTGTAGGGGCTATATATAGGCGTGGTCGGCCATTTTGGGGCACTTCCACATTTTCAACTTTTAAGAGCGCCATATTCTTCAGTATCTTTGATTTGTTTTAAGGTTTAATTAAAATCTGGAATCGTATTACTTCGGAAACTCAAGTAAAGGTAGATAGCTTGTTTTTTAATGCATATGGTGCTCATTTATTAATTTTAAAGATTAGTTTTGAGTTTTGTAGGCACTTGATATAGTACTTAGATAGATTTTTTTTTTTAATTACTTCAGTTCAGAATTTTCTAAAAATGTTTATAGATTTAAATACTTAAGCCTGTTGTAGATTCTATATTATAAGTTTCTGCTTAATAAATATGTGTTGGTCACACATAGCCCCCGCGCGGAATTTGTAAACGTGTATTTCTTTTGACTTCGGGTTTTTCTTAATTTATTGTTAACGAGTTGCCATAACTGAATGTGTTACTAGTATTTCTTTATGATCTTCTTCAGAATATTTGCTTCAATATTGTTAAGGCATCTTTAAAATAAATTTTAAAATTGTCAGAGCATCTTATTTTTTTGTCCAGTCATAATTAATATTTCAATCTTTAGTTTGTGGAAGTCACACCCCTCCCCCCCCTTTTATCCTGAGAATGCTGTAGACCGGGAAGGCATTACAGCTGCGCACTGGCAAGCTAGCAAACGTGCATATATATTTTCAAACGTCATCGCCGTCTGTTAGCTAACCAAGTAGCCCCCACCTTCTACATCTGAACAGCAAGCAAAGCAAGATACCTCACAGCGCTACCAAGTGGCCCAGACTAGAGTACTCAGGCTCGTAACAATATTTAGTAATGCTCTGGTAGATTGTCTAGCTAGCTTAGCATTCCAGTAGAGCATTTTTCATTATATTTAGGAATGCCTTGCTAGATGCCTAGCCAGCTTAGCATTCCAGCAGAGCATTTTACACTATATTTAGTAATGCCTTACTATATTGCCTAGCCAAATTAGCATTCCATAATGTTCCACATGTTGTGTGTGTACACGGACGTACTTACGAAATGTGACTTTTCCTTTGATCTTTTTAGCCATTTTTAGACACACAAGTAAGAATAGGAATGATTAGGATCAAAGAGAATTTATTGTTACCCATTGTTCTCCAAGTCACACAAGTACCTCTGGGTTTGTACGTCGTGACCTTTCATGGTAATCACGTGTAAAGGATTGCTTATTGGCTGTGTTACAGTATATGAATAGCGTATGATAATGATTTTCTAGACTAAGTGATAAAAAAACTAATTGATAAGGTGATAAAATTGTTAGTACTTTAATACTTTATAAGACGTAATGCTCACAGTCATTGCTGTACAGCAGACATCATGGTCATACAATAGTTGCACGGTTTTAATTAAATTGTTGTAAAAATGTTTACAGTTGACATTACCGGAAAATAGGCATTCACAGTTAATCTTCCATGATGATGATGGAGATGATGATGATGGGATACAGATTTTTAATAAATGTTTCGACATACAAGTTATTGAATATTTATAAATATTGTAATATTGAATTTATCCCACGGATTCGTGTTTTCTGGGACGATAAATTTTAAGCTTTTAAAATGCTATATCGAATATTAAATCAAATAAAATTCAGAATGCTGTACAATGACAAATAATTATACATTAGAAATGTTAGATTTTTTTTAAATAAAATTGTATTCTATTTCAATTCAAAGTTAAATAAGCCTTGAAAATAGTTTATAATAACTCCAGATCCAAAACGTTATATTTTGCAAAAGTTATTTTTTTTTTTTCATTTTCATTGTGAGTATGTCTTTTTATGCTTCGTGCTTTTTTCCTTCATAAAATAATGTCCAATCACAAAAACGGCGCGTGCCAATCGATATTATATACTGTATGTGACTGGAATCTAAAATTGTAAAAACGACAAGTTCATTCATATATTTTTAATCCATTTCACAAAGAGTTGTACCCAAGATATAAAATAAAATTTTACTGTAGTCTTCAAAACATATTTTATGTTACATTAACTTCCGGGTTTGATTTTTAATTTCTCTAAAACAATCAACTATCGGCATAATTTTTATAGATCTAGTATACTTAAAATAATTATTAATATAAATAGATCTATATATATATATATATATATATATATATATATATATATAGGAACGACTAGATCTATTATTGGAAGCATGCCAACTCTCCATGTGGTACCACGTGTGTGTAAAATGCCGGTATATTAACTTAGATACACGTAATGAGATATTCATACAAAAATATAGATTAAACCAAAGTGGTAATTCTAATATCTTAAACAAACACCAGCTAGTGTCGTAAATCAGCACCCGAAGATCGATAACTGAACATCAATAATTAATGCCGCCATTTCTTTGTGCAAATATTGCGTCATACGCTTGATATTCATTATCCAATGGGATTTGCATATTGCCGGTCGCGCGAAAAAGGTACACGAGTGAAGAAACCGCTCCTAAAGTCGTAGCAATAATTATTGTATGGCACATGGGGCGGGATGCTGGCCGCGATCTTACAACCACGCCGTAATGTTTTACCATCTTCAAACTTTCTCATCAACCATCACTCGTCGCTACTTGAAAAATAATCATCTAGATTTGCAATTATTAATAGACAACACATAGATCTGTCTGAACAACTTATATTGGAAGCATGCCCATGCACTCTCCACGTGGGTCTCTCCACGTGGGTAGCTAGTGTGTATTAATAAGGAGAGTTGGAAACCTGCATATTTTACCTGTATCTATATTTAGATAGTTCATTTAAAATGTAGTTTTTATTGTCAAACCATGTGTACCTTTCTATTTTAATATGTTTGAAGTTTCAATTTATAACTATGTACCAGGACTTATTTGTAACCAGGAACATAACATTGAGATCTACATGACTTTCATGTAAGTGTCCTTGTTATAGGATCATCTGTCTATTGTGATTGTTTCCTTGTCATTTATTTATCATATCATCATAAGGATTTCTGTGTTTGTACTCTTAAATGTCATTATATCAACCCCAGACTTCAATGTCTATGTAACTAATTCTGAGGACCAACTATAGAAATATAAAAATACTCTTTTTAATTCTACAGCTTAAGTTTTCACATAATTTTCAAATAATTTAACATACCATTTGATGAAAATGTAATTCATAATGAGGGCAAGTCGTTGTTTCTGTGAGCAAGAAACTACATTTCCAATTTTTTTAAGTATTGATTGGTTCCAGTGACGGATTTGTCCTACACTCAATGACATTCCATCTATGCGAATTGATATAAGCTTGTCCATCGGTGAATTAATATAAATTTGGCTATCTACTAGTTGTAAAATATATATCTTGGTTAATATATCGGATACTTAACTAGCTCGTCATAGAACACTTATTCATAGTCTTAAACCGTATTCACAATATAGTGGTGCTGTAGAAGTCGCTATGATTTTCACTATTCTTTTTTTTTGATGCGTTTAAGGTCGCCGCCGGAAAGCCCATATGGGTGACCGTACACTCAAGTCGGGTCATCCTAAAGCGTCCCGCCGAGATTTTCGTCGATTTTTTCCAGCTTTATTGGTGGAGGAATACCCCAGGTGCCCCTCCGGGCATTATTTCAGGCACGAGCGGGCACCTGGGTAGAACCACCGACCTTCCGTAAGCCAGCTGGATGGCTTCCTCACATGAAAGATTTCGACCCGAGTGAGGATCGAACCTTCAGTGGTGAGGGACCTGTGATCTCAAGTTTTCTCTTTGATAATTGGCACAGAAACGACTAGACGTAATCCGATTGAGATGCGACTGAAATGTTTTACTATTCTTTTATACCGTTAAAAAATCTCAAGTCCGTATATTAAAATCGTTCGTTCGTAACGGTGATCAAAGCTTTGTATTCCATTGCATTGTGTGCGTCATTGGTAGGTTCCCTGTAGACCACTATGAACACATGTGCTTTAATTACATTTATTACACGTTTACATCGTATCTGACAGGTTGTCATTCTAAACGACTTAAGTGATAAAAGCTTTGTATAAACTGTCTGTTAAGCTTCCAGTACTGTACATGTGTAACTCTGTTTTTTTTTTCACAATGTAAAAACTGTATTGTTTTAACTTCTTTTATATTTACACCACATGTAACGTTTTAAATGCTGAATTGTGTCGTTATTGTATATATTTTACTATGCTCAATCGTATTTGATCGGTGTTAAACTGATGATATATGTCGTTTAAACAATTCTTCTTTTTGTTATTCGTCTCCCTATTTAGACAGGATATTTACAGCATGTGCACATACATATTAATATGAATTTAAAAGGAAATTATTAGCGCCATTACATGCATCGATAAAACTTTTGTTTGTGTAATTAAAAATGAAAGTAGCAGCGAAATATTAACTTATATAACTGTTTTTAAAATACGCAGCATATTTTCTAGATACCTATTCAGAATTCCGCTGAATATATCAACATTTCATTTAATTCGTTTTTTTTTACTCTTCAGCTCATTTAATCGTTAATACATGAAAAATTAGCGTTATCTATATTGACTTAACCTGTATATGTTCACCCTATATGTTCGCTCTGTTCCGTGTTTGCAAATGACCTCATTCACGAAATTGATAGTCTTGGGCTTGGAATTAACGTTGGTTCTATGATGGTATCTACATTGTTCTGCGCGGATGACATAGCTCAGAAATAAATTTACAGGGTATGCTTGATGTTGTAACATAAATGGTGCAAACGGTGGCGCGTCTTAGTAAATACTAATAAGTAAAAATGTGTCCATTTTCGTAGAGGACCTACACAGTGCAGTGAATTTATTTTCAGAGTTAGTGAAAATGTTCTAGAGACTGTTGATTATTATAAATATCTGGGCATAGTTTTGATGTAAAAATGAACTTTAATCTTAATAGTGAATCCCTATCTAAAGGTGCTGGAAGAGCTTTAGGGAGCATAATCTGTAAAATTCACAACCTAAAAGATACTGGAATTAACACATTTGAAAAACTGGTAGGCAGTTGTGTGAGTCCAATATTGGAGTATGGCGCCTCCTCGTGGGGCTTCAAATCGTACCAATGTGTTGACAATGTCTATCACCGCGAGCTAAGATACTTTTTTGTGTACATAGATTTGCACCAATCGTAGCAATGTATGTTCAGACAGAAACTGCCTATAATACTTTTTTGGGACAGGTTGTTATCATTGCCGGATGATAGACTAACCAAAAAAGTGTTCTCATATGATTACGGTAAATGCAATACATGTG